AGTAATCATCAATTATTTGATCATTCATTGTACCGTGGAACAATTATTTGATCTGGGAAAATCATCAAGGAAGATTCTCATCGACGACACATATATTATATATACGTACACGCACACAAGCATGCATGCATGTTAAATTCGACCAATGGTTCCAGAAGATGCTGATGTTTACATGAGGTTCTCAAAAACTTGAACTAAGCTAGCTAATTAATTACATAATTGATCGAACAAATGAGAATCGGAATTAGCTGTTGCGGTTTTCTGCAGGGAGAGCATAACTTCTTCCCTTACCTTTCAATTGTTCACATCCTAAAGCGCAGGCCTTTTCACAAGCTGCATCTGTGGCCTCATCTAACCCCATACATATCGGCATGCAACCCTCTACGCACATTGATTTTGAGGCAACGGCATTTGTTAATCTTAGGGTTGTGCTTGTCGCTAAAACTATCATACTAGTATATATCATGGTCACTGCTGCATTACATCTTCTGCGAGACATCATCTCGTGCTGATATGATATCAAGCCACCAATTTGATCTTCTAATGAAACCAACTTTTCCAAGACTCGCGAGGGGATGGGATGACTGTTTATTTGCTTTCAAACCTTCGGGAAAAGAGCCGCTCAAGTTAAGCTCGAGTTTAGATCAAGAAAGCATGACATGACCGACTAGATATGCATAAATACTTGCATAAAAGAAAGAAAAAAATGTCACAAGCATTTGACTCCAATAAAAGGGTGTTCATCTTTTAACATCTCTTTTATTTTATGTTTCCCTTTTGGTAAATATTTGAGAGAGGTAGTGAGTAAAATGAGGAGGTGGCTCGGAAAATTGATGTGGTTAAATGATTGAGAGCACTCAAAATTTCTCCAACCATCCACCTCTCTCTCTCTCTCTCTCTACACACAAAAATGACTAGCATTTTCTTGTTACATCCATCTTATTTTGTATTGACATTTCAAAACGCTATACGTACTAGTCCATACTTTAAGGTTAATGGCTTCTCTCTTTTTTTTTGTTTTGGGGGGGGGGGGGGGAGCACTAAGGGACTAAGGGAAACGCTATCCTAATCTACGGGGGAAGGGAAGTCAGAGAGCTATAAATTGCATACGAGTGGTGAGGAAGATGAGTTTGGGAGTTGAGAGTTGGAGAGAAAAATAAGAGAAATTTAGAGTTTTCCCTTGTTTAGGCATTTTAAGTGAAAAAAAAAAAGTAAGAAAATGGAAAGATAGATTGATTTAAAAAAAAAAAATTTATCTCCAAAATTAGAGAGAAATGGAAGGAAACTTCAGAGCACGTTTTCCCTATAAATAAAAAATCATAATACCATATGACTCTAACATCATTTCAAAAATCATACCAAATGAGTCCAAATCTCATCTACCTATAATGCCAAAATCATTTCCCTTCCCTTCCCAACTCCCAATCAACGTGGGAAGAAAAATATATACATACATACATATATATATATATATAATATATATATATATATATACATATTTATTCTCTTCCCTTGGTTTGTGTCATAACTCGTCCTCTCTTATCTCTTCCCCCCCCCCCCCCCTCCCTCCTTCGAGCTCCAAAAGAGAAAAAAAGAAGTCTTTTTTCCCTTTCTCTTAAAAACAAATGACTAGTGTTTTGGTGAGCATGGGTTGATCCATACCAGGAAAAAGACTGTCCTAATCCTAACTGGTTGAGCAGTTCGGCCCAACCCCATGTGATGTGGGTCGTTATGTTTCACCTGTCGTCAAGTCAAGAACGAGAATGAAAATTACAGACAGACACAGAAATAAATAAGAAGAAGAAAAGGCAAAGTGAAAAAAGAAAGAAGAAAGAAAGAAACGGAGCAGATGCGGACAGATACTGCCAGCCACCCAGCCAGTGCCAGATACAACAGGCGTCACTCGTCGGTTCTGCAAGAAGTCCGATTTGGAGGATAAAACAGGCGACAGTTTTGAAGGATCCAAAATACAGCAGCGTCTATACAAAAAAGAGAAAGGGAAGGGTCCTTTTCTTTAACTCTAAATCATACAAAAAGAGAATGGTATTTAACAGTGTAATGTTAGTTTCAGTTGCCAGAACCTCGGCAGAGGTATGGCAGCAAATGGCCTGTTTCGGGGAGCATCAGCGGATAGACGGCCAGCAAATGGTGGATCTGGTCATCCGTTTCCCTCTTCAACAGCTTGGCCGCTTGCTTCTTTACATTTGGACTTTCCTCTGCGTCCCTCCTCAGCCCTATTACTATCCTACTTATTCTAATTACCGTGATGATGATGATGATGATGATACTAGTTCTGATGATGATGATGATGATGGTGATGGTGCTGGTTCTTCCTCCCCTACTACTTCTCGATATTTTTATTACCACCAACGCCGCCCAGATGCTGATGATGATGAAGATGGTGGTGGTGCTGGTGCTGGTTCTTCTTACCTCTACTACTTCTCGATATTTTTACCACCAACAACGTCCAGATGCTGATGATGATTCTTCCCTATCAGATTGATTTGATCGGCTGACTGTTGTCTTTTGTAAAGTTACTCTCTTTGGAATAATAGTAGCGTTCTTCTTTTAATTCTGTATATAATTGATCTTTTCTCCTCCTGACTTTGTGTTAACTTTTTCAGATTAGATTTTCATTTTTCTCTTTGAATTGGTTTTGTGGAATTCATGAGTTTGTGACTTCCACAAACAGATGATCTTTTCTGTAATATATCAAGAGCAACAAAAGAAAAAAAAAATGAAAAGGAGCAGATTTTTAGAGTGGCGTATGCTTTGGGATTGCTGTTGAAATGAAGGTTCTTGAGCTTGTTTCTCTTTTTTAATTCTGTCATTTTTTTTATGGGCACTATAATCTGTGGAATTGCCTACTTCCTGGTTAGGTTCTTGAGCTTGTTTCTCTTTTTTATTTCTGTCATTTTTTTATGGGCACTATAATCTGTGGAATTGCCTACTTCCTGTTTGGTTCTTGACCATGCTTTATTCAAACATTCTTTGCATTAGTTAATTTTATGAAGAAATTAAGTAGCGAAAAAAAAGTGAGCAAATGAAACATTTAGGTGTACCTTTTGCTCGAATGTTTTGCTACATTAAGTTACTTGTGTATGGTGTTGCATTTTATCAGCTGAATGATGTTGGCACCCAAATAATGGTGTTTAACATCTTGAATTCAGCTGAAATTTTTTATTTCCATACTGGTAAGCTGCCTGTTTTCTGCCTTTAACTAAGATTTCCTACTTTGTCATTCTTTTATGTGAAACCTCCTTATTCAGTCTAGTTGCAGTGCTATTATCCTGTTCATGGTCTGATATGCATAGATGTCATCTATCACAGAGAGTGAGAAAATTTCATGTAATTTTGACTTGATTCTGCTCAGGGACAGGAAGGAAGGAACAGACTTTGATGTAGAAAAGCACTCTTGACTTGACTCTGGCAATTATCAGTTCACAAACTGATTCTTAGTTTTTTTTTATCTTTTTTTTTTTAATAAACAGATTACTAGTTCACCGTCTTTTGGAAGTGGCATCTTGAGCGCTATAAGTTGACACATGATGAAGGTTTATGCATAAACAATTACCACCAACATCTAAAATAGCCATGCAACAAAATTAAGATTAATGGTGCACATGTCTGAGTTTCCTCTAAAATTCTCAAAAATGGATCCCAAATTGAAATTTTGGGTGTACAAGTAAGATTTCTTGCTGTAATGTTGCATACTTTTTGGTACAATGACTTTTCAGAACAATATAATCAAATGATTATAAAGATAGTGCCTTTCACTTTCAACAACATGATTTTGATTTGTCTACTCCTTTATAACGTTGATTTGTCTAAATGTCATCAATTGAAATATGCAGTTACCAAACACAGAGTGCTTCAGCTCACATACATTATTGCTTGCTTGCTTACTATTGATTGCAATAGCTAAGCATTTCATGCAAGATTGAGTTTTGAGAACTTCAGGTGCTTACTTTATTTGAGCAGATACTCTTTCTTCTTCTTAGACAAGGTTGTAAGGTGGATTTGTGTCCAAGAAGCTCATTCCTTGGAAGCACATTCCTTCAGCTGAAAAGTATTGGGTCTCACTTGAACTTATGATTTCCTGGCCTTTATTTTTGTTCTTAAGCTAGAAAGGTGTGCATTAATTGCCCAGATTTTCCTATTTAGACCAGAAAGATGGGCTACGGTGGACGTATGCTTTGAACTTTTGACAAGTTTGAAAAAGCTAATTTCTTCGTGTTTGTCGTTATCCAGTGCCCATAACTTGAAACTTCGTTGTTTCGTGTTTGCGGTATCAAGACGCTAGAAGTTGTTTAAAGAGTTTCTTTTGCTTTTTGCTCTCGGATCAAAAAACAAAAGCAGTGAACTAATGCTTATCTAATGCTACTAGAAGGCTATGATCCAATCCACCAGCAAATGTACTTGGCGCTTCTTTGCTCTCTGCTGTCTCCAGTGTTGCCATTAATTAATTGGTACCATTTTTGGTTCTCAAAGAAACCTAATGTTAGTGAGAATAGGCAATTGGAATTTTTATTCTGCTTTCAGGCAGACGTTTTAGCTTGAGTTGACCGAGATGATAGGGTTGGTATCATGCCTTCCTACCCATTCGGGTTCAAACCTTTCCTGGGACATTTGTTGTCCATTTCACAGGCCTTGCCCGGGTGACTGCGATTTTCCTTGTCAACAAAAATATTCTGTCTCAACTTTGTCATTGCTTTTGGATATATATCCAATTTCTAGCAGAATCCACTGAAAGAAGAAATAAGGACTAAATAGAGCAGATTACCAAATTGATACTATAATAACAAAAGCTTCATGGTATGACTCAATTACCAAAAGCATTCCATTAGCACCTCAAGTCAGGCATCTTTTGTTTTTTTTTTTTGTTTTTATATTCACAAGTGGAAGACTTCAAGATCTTCACGTACACGACCAAATCTTCAGATTATAGTGGCATATCTTGATCAAAGAGACAACGTTAATGAAAACTGAGAAGAATCCTCTGGCTCAAAACAAAAGCATCTCTTTTTTATTTCTGTAAACCTAAAAGACAATCAGGACCAGATACATCAAAACTTTCTATGCGCAATGAAGACATTCCTAACCCATCAAGTTGGTACAATGTCTTTCAAACGGGTTATTGTAGATGAAATCGTAATACCTATTGCCGAGTTTCAAAGAAGCTTTACGAGTTGCAACACCCGATGCTGAGTATCTTTGAGGGGTAAAAAGAATGATGACATCTTCTCTACAACATACAACATATGATTGATGAATAGTTTAGTAGTCGTTTGTTCTTCTTACCCCTAAATTCTCGTCGTCTTCCCTTCTTTTTCCATACATGATTGATCACAGCCTCAAAACAGCCAGCATTCCTCCCATTTCCGCTAGTGCTAGTAGGCAAGATCCACCGCATCTTGTCCTACGTCACTTTCTGTCTCAAGAAGATACCATGCCTCACGAGCCAATTCACACATATAGACACACACCATCCTATCTGCAGAATTTGCACGCTTTCTTGTACATCAGAACAGGAAGAGGCTCCTAAAAGAAACTTGAAAAAGAACTAGGAAAAAATTGTTATGACAGTTAGGTTAGAAAGCCAAGCTTCCTTTGGAAGAACCATAGCTTGCTTGTGATCAGTATCCATTGACACAAATTTCTTCTTAAGCCAGAATTTGTTACAAAAAAAAAAAATCACCGAGCAAATCTCAAGGTAAATTACAAATAACTCCCATGGAATAGTCATCATTGCTTCACTTACACTAATCTGACATGCAGATTGGCCATTGGTGCTTCTGAGAACTTCTACTGATTGCATCCACGTCTAGAGATAACATTACAGACCAAATTAGGTTGGCAAAACTATTTTCTGGAAGCTTGACTAAAACCGAAGTGAAACTACGGACACTTGAATGTGTGGGCATGTGTGTGTGTATATATATATACACATATACACACAAACATACATACATACATAAATGTATAAATTTATATCTAGGTAATTTGGACTGCTAGAACATTTAAAGCAAATTAACTACCTTGATAGGGCGGATCCAAACAGATAATACATGGCTTTAGTTGCTTATTGGGTGCACGAGCTCAAATTCAGCTTGTGGTCGTTGACAGAGCTCACTCACTTGGGAATCCAAAAATGTCCAAAAGCTCTTCTTGAACAGCTCTCCTACATGAATAAAAGTCATTCATTATTGACTTCGACTCGTATTTCAAATTCTTAAAAAGCAGTTTTAGTTTCCAGCCTCCAGTAAATATTTTATATCTTCCAATAAATTATTAGGATTAACTGATTTTTGTACTACCGATTTAAAATAAATTTGTGTTTTGAAAAAAAGTGATGATCGTGATTTTTCTTTTTCTTTCTTTCTTTTTTTTTTTTTTGGTAGTAACGAATACAGAGACATAGAAGCATTAAACAATAAAAATTTACATTTTTTAACCAGATATGCTTCACCTAAAAAACAAAGCACAGAGGATGACATGTCATTGTAATGCACAGGCTATAGCTACATGTCCTTTTAATGCTGAAAAATTATTTTTCCGTGAAAAAAAACTAAAGAAGGTATTGGAGAACCTTTCTCATAATTGATCATGAAGATTGAGTGAATCACAAAGTATAATCAGAAAGAATGGTCTTAAAATACGTTGACTTATCCATCTGGATTTGTATTAAATGCAATACTAAGTATACAAGATTGGTAGCAAATTGAACACAAGCTGATTGCAAAAGGTTCCAAATATCTACAGCTCTTGTAGGAGATAGAAAGACTATACTATTGAAAACTTACTGACGCTCAAAAGACAGTTAAATGTAAAGAACGTGTCAAAATAATGTGCTTTCTAAATGATGTTCAATTAGTACTGAAGTGAAGTTCAAATTTTGAAAATCTAAACACACCTGAACACATGTAGAGCAGAATATTCAGAAATATGCAAACCTTTACTGTAAAACTTGGTTGCACCATCAAGGAATGAAAGGCAGCCTATCTTTGGTGGCCACATCACCACTTCAATTGTTTTTTGGGTCTTCAGCTCCAAAAGCCCTCCCTCCATCAAGTATGACGTTTGTTTTCAGTCATCATGAGAAGACAAGCAGCTCACAGCTGCTGCTCAAATATATTTTTCAGCCAAAGTTGCATAAATCAGCAGTGACCATGCTAAAGGACATATAATCACAAATATAAGCAGCATTATGGCAAGCAGTTGCGCATATCCATATAACAAAATCTGTCTTTAGACAGGCACAGGTCATGCTCTAACCAATTCTCTGCACAGCTACCAGAATGACTTTTCAATATGAGGTTTCAAGGTTCACCAGTAATCATTGCAAGAGCATACTCCGTCCTCAAAATGATGAAATCTATTTGCATCCCTTAAAATAATTAGTCTTCCTGTAACTTTTGAAATTAACTTTATAGCAACATGGCAGTCTCCACAAACTCGGAGGTTTTTCATTACCCTTATGGGCATTCCGCCAGGCAACTTCAGAAGTCCATATGCAATAGCCAACTTTTCACTGTGATGTCCCAGGCTTCGTACCTTCTCTTCTTCATCCAAATCATGCAGGACAAAGCTGCCATCAGGGACATATCCAGCTTCCCTTAGCAATGCAGCTAAGCTCTCTAACTTCTCGACAATCATTGGATGCTCTGGATGCGGCATGTGCTCACCACCGGTAAACATATGCACTTTCTTATCAACCTCAATCCAGCTACAACCAGGCGAGCGGCTAACCTTCCTCAACCGCATGTGCTTCCTCAGCTTTGCTACATCCCCCCATTTGCCTTTAGAGGCAAAAATATTGGAAAGCAGAACATAATGTCCGGCATTTTGTGGCTCAAGCTGCAGAAGTTGCTTTGCTGCCACTTCTGCCAAGTCCAGGTTCATGTGGTTCCTACATGCTGCCATGAAAGAACCCCAAGCAATTGCATCTGCTTCTACTGGCATCTTGTTAATCATATCCATAGCCTCAACCAAATGACCAGCTCGGCCAAGCAGATCAACCATACAAGCATAGTGTTCAGTTCCTGGATCTACCAAATATTTGGATTTCATAGCCTCAAAAATTTCTTTCCCTTCTTTAACTTTTCCAGTGTAACTGCAAGCTGAGAGAACTCCAACAAAAGTAACAGCATCTGCTGCAATGCCTAGAGAACACATTTCACGGAATGCTTGCAGGGTTTCATCTGCTAAGCCATGTTGGGCATATCCTGTTATTATAGAATTCCACATGACTACATCCTTCAGAGAAAATCTGTCAAATACTTGCTTTGCTTTGATAAGGTCGCCGCATTTCACATACATTGTTATCAATACAGAGGAAACATATACATCATCATCGATTTTGATCTGAGCAACTGAGCATGAATCTGCCTACCATGATTGACACTTGCAAGACTAGCACACACAGAAAGCACACTTATCAATGATGGGAAGTTCAGTCTAAGACCTTGTCTTTGCATACAGCGAAATATATCAAAGGCCTCCAAATCAAACCCTTTTCTCTCATAAACCTTAATCATTGCATTCCATGCAGCATCATCCTTCACCCTCATGGAATCAAATATCCTCCTCGCTCTAGTGACCTTCCCATTCTTGCCTAACCCAAGTATCATTGCATTACAAGCAACAATTGATTTAATAGGCATTGCATCGAAGAGCTCCAATGCCTCTTCAATTCTTTCACTCTGAATGTATCCCATCAGCATAGCAGTCCATGACACCTCATTCTTCTCAGGCATGACCTCAAAAAGCTTCCTAGCCAAATCCACCTTCTCATTTTGTGCATATCCTGAGATCATCGAAGTCCAGGAGAACACATTTCTATGGGGCATATTGTCAAAAATCTCTCGAGCTTCACCCAACCGACCTTCCTGACACAACCCACCAACCATACTTGTTCTTGCCACCACATCCTTCGCGGGCATCATATCATAAAGCCTCTGTGCCTCCTCCATTTTACCCTGTTGTATCAACCCACCCAACATGACAGTCCACGAAACCACATTCTTTTCAGGCATTTGCCAAAAGAGAGCCTCAGCCTCTGATACCAACCCCTCCTCCACATACCCTCTAACCATTGCAGTCCACGAGACAACATTCCTTTCGGGCATTTCATCAAAAACCTTTCTGGCTTCGTCCACCATCCCATTCTTTACATAGCCTGAAATCAGTCCATTCCAAGAAACTAAATTTCTATCAGGCATTTGATCGAAGAGGCTCTGGGCTTCACTAGGCTGTTTGTTTTGGAAGTAGCCGGCAATAATGGAATTCCAGGAGACAACACCTTTGTGGGGCATATGATCAAAAACCCTTCGGGCATTGTCAATTTGGCCCAACCGTGCATATTCCGCAATCTTAGAATTTGCAGTGATGGCAAGGGTGGAGTAACATTTTCTCCACCGCAATATTAATACCCAACGGCACATTCGTACAATCAAGTAGCAGCAGCAGCTTTGGTTTCTTCACTCCCCTATCTCTTCTTTCTTCACTCCTCAATGTGATGTGCAACAGCAGCAGCTGCTGCATTTAAATTATCCTTGACTCTAAGCAAACTCAGTACGAAGTACCAATATGAAATGATACCAAAAGTAGTAGCCTAATATTTGCTAAACAAACTGAACCCAAGATAGGATTCTCTAATCTTTAAATGCCTTCTAAGATCAAAAAAGTCCTGTGGAGTGAACAAAAGTTAGAAAATGATTCTGGCTGAAAACAATTTTTTTTGCCCTTGAAATTATGTTACACCCTATTAAAGGTACCTTTAGATGAATAAGGAAGGCATCATGGTGAAAAGAAAAAACTCTGGAAGAAGCGGAATGCTGGAATGATATCATACTAAACATTGAACAATAAAACATACACTGGACAGCATTTTGGGGAGAAAATATAAATTGCACAACTCAACACAGATTGCATGTGGATCGAACTTAGAAAGAAGGTATAGTCTAACAGAATACAAGACATTAATCAAATGAATTACCTTCAAGGAGAATGTCACTTGACTTCTTCAATTCTGTGGCGATAGTTTGGATAATCCTATTCCAATTTGTTCGCCTTGCAATTGAAACATGAAATAGGAACATATTCAAACTTACAACGGCATTTGAAAAGGTATAAACAAAATGAAAAATAAAGCAAGAAAAAGAATTGCAGGGGAACTATTTACATACCAGGGAAGGACAAAAAGAACTTCAAAAATTTAAAAAGAAGAAAAGAGTGGTTATTGTAGTTAAAATAAAAGCAAGGGGCATTATTGCTGAAAAGCACCACTGAGGATAGAGCAAAACAAAGAACAGTCACGCTTTTGGGAAGTGGAACACAAAAATAAAAAAGCAGACACAGATGGTCCATAAACTGTCCTAACAAGACGCATGAACTATCACCATGGGACAATAGGCTCAAAAAGCTTTGAATGCTGCAGTAACAAAATTCTGCAAAGTTACAGCGAATGCCAAGACTAGATAACATGCTCAAAATGGGAGTCCTTATTTATGAACTTCGATTGGCGTTTCAAGATCTTTACCTATGAAGCATGACCAACCACTTCTGACAGGCTCAAACCTCCATCTTCTTCACATAAAGATGAAACAAAAACATCACCACCATCATCACTAAATGCATCTTAAAAGCATGTCTTGAGCCTCAGACTATCCAAAAAGGTGGTGACAAGAACAGACTCAGTTAAGAAGGCGCAGAAATTGTTTTAAGCGGAAGACTGGCAACTGCCCTCTCAGAAAGGCTTGCTAACATGTCTTTGAAGATTTTTTCAAACAATTGCTTGAGAAAAGGAGAGATCACATCAGAACAAGTCAAAGCATCAAGAGATCGAACCACACCTTTTCGAACAAGAAAAGTGAAAGCTGAAGATACCCCTTTGACAATTACATCTTTTCTTTCAATGTCATAGTTTTCCACCAGCATCAAGAGAAATTCTAGAAGAGTACGAGTTATGTCAACATAACTAGGAATGGAATTTATCATTAGCAATATCCCAGGCTCAATGTTCATTATATTATCTACCTTGTCATCAAAGAAAAGCCAATCATAGAATAAGGCAAGCTTAACATTTGCTTCGACATAATTCCTCTGGGAAGATTTTAGCAACCAGCCTATGACAGCCCACCTAGGAATGATGTCTGACTGGATAATCTCATTAGGTGGATGATGTCCGCAGCAAATAAACCTAACAATGTCAGTTAGAAGAGTCTCCCTCTCGGGGACACCAAGAAACTTCTTTGCAAACCAAACTTGGTACCTCTTTTGATTTCCCAATTTAACATGCGTTAGCAAGAACCTCAACTGGTTCTCCATTTCAGGAGTTATCCGCAGCAGAAAATACCTACTAGACGTCCTTGAAAGGTAGAGCTGTGAGATATCTAAGAATGCATCAGTCTGAAACACACTAGGGTTCAATAACAAGTCTTTCCAAATTGAGCAAAACTCAGGTACATGAACCAAGTCCTGTAAAAGCCGAACAAGATCTCTTCCAATCTTCAAACACAAACCAAATTTCTCCCTTAACATCCTAATGCAAAAATCAATTTCAAGCCTCTTCAAGGTTTCAACTTTTGAGTCATTTGGCAACCTACAATGATCAGCCAATAAACGAAGAAACACGTATAAAGCACTGGTCAAAACTAGAGGTTCATCCTCCAACAAACAATCCCATTTGTCCCTAAAGAGACTAACCATCTCAAAACACAACCACAAATTTCCTCCGCTAAAGTCACCACCAACAATTTGCCTCAAAAGGGCCACCAATAAACCATCAAATCCAACTCCCAACACATTCACCATTTCACGCGTCACCCAAATCAACTGAGTTTTCACCGAATCAACGAGTTTGGCATACAACTCATTAACAATCTTGATAAGCATGGATATAAAATAAGTGTAGCCATCAGTGACAATAGCATGTAAGTGCTTAATGTGGACTCTGGCCACGTGGGGTTCACATAAAATTTCGCAAAGAATTGCTTTGTTCAGGTTGAAGTAGTCTTCTTGAGTTGGAAGTTTTAAAGGAAAAGGGGGTCTGAGTTGGGGCTCCAGAAGCTGAAAAGCTTCTCTAAGAGACACTTCAAGTGAGTTGTCAGCTTCAAAGATTGCATTTTTAGTCAGTTTGGAACGCATATTTCGATCAATCAATGAAACTAACAGAGTCCTAATTGAAGACCAGCGAACTGGAAATCACTGACCTGATCAGAAGGACCGTCGCATCAGCAGCAGCAGAACCCTAGCAATGGTATGCTCGGAAGGTGGCAATTTGGCGGGTCTCCTGCTCCGCCAAAACTTCGCGATGGGTTAATTACACTGAACTCCTTCAAAATATGACGTTCTCAGAAGTGCTTCCCTGTAGTTTTGAAAATCAGACTTAGCCCCCCATCATCAGAATGGGCATTGCCCGTATCCCAAAATCATGAGCCACCTTCCGCGTTTGGTCATGTATAATGTAATTTCCCGTAGTTCTGATTGAGAGGAGGAATGGGGAAATGGAGGAGGAGAAGAGGGGAACCGGGGCTGGGAGTGGTGAAAATGACGATGAGGAAAGAGTGAGAAGAACGAGGAATGAATTGTAAAGTTCAGCGGTTTTGTTGCAGAAGTAGTCGGCCTACACTAGACTTTGATGTCCATTCCAATTCTGTTGGCACAATAACATTTAACAGATTAATTGCAAATCACTCCACAACTTTACATGGGTTGCAGATAACTCCAACTTCAAAATTCTCGTCCATCCCAATTTTTTGGCTGCTGCTGCTGCTGCCTTTTCCCCATTCTTCATCTCCGTAGCATCCAATCCTGATAAGATATGGGACAAGTAGAGAGCCAGGCAGCAGCCCCAGAGGACGAAAAGAACCCTTCTTCAGCGAATTCGTCTCTTGATTCTTTGATTGCTGGTCCAATACTCCTCCTTTCTCTCTTTTCTTGATTGTTGCTTCTTGTAATTTGATCTGATGTTGGACAGAAGAATAGACGAGCCTTGAACCACCCCAAACCCTGATCAAAAGTTGCTAGGTCCTTTTTCTTCTTTCGGGTTGCAGAAGCTGCAGCATTTGGCGATGAAGATGAGAATTTGGTAGGATGGATTCAGTTTCCAAACATTACTAATTAAGCATGCTGATTCAATTTCTGCTTTGGGGGATTTTTTTAAATATACTGTGCTTCAGACTTGGGACTGACTGAAATTTATACATGTGTCTTTAGAATTGGCGTCAGTGGAGGAAAAAGCTCAAAGAGCACTGGAAGGAATGCCCTTGCATTGCTCATTTGAGGACTGGTCCTTGTGGCTCCCACTTCTCTGATGCCTTCCTCTTCTGTTCCCTCAAGAGCAATGCTCCAGAGAAGGTAATGAGCAATGCTCATTTGAAGTTGCATGTATGGGATAGAAAATTGGAAGGGATAATTTCAGAAACCCTCCGAGTTTTTTGACAATTCCATTGAGCTCCACTGAGGTTTAAAAATTACACATACCTCCCTTATCATTTAAAATGACAATTTTACCCTTAAATATTTTAATAAAATCCCTTATTTAGTATGATTATATTTAGAATGAGTTTAAAATTATTTTTTCATTTTGTTCCCTTCTTATTCCTTTTTTTTAAAAAAAATTTCATCAATAAAACTGTAGAACTATCACTGTTGTCTCTAATTTTTATTATAACCAAATATCGAACTAGTAATTTTTTTGACGAGTTAATTCCCACTATTCAAAAAATTCATAAATTGTAAATGGATTATTTCAACATTTTCTTTTCTATCTTATAAATCTAAATTCATAATAATATACCATCAAAAGTATCATATCATAGTAGTTGTTTATCAAATAGTAGATATGGACATGAAAAATTTGGCAGCCTCTGCCTTATAATTATACTAAATAACCTTATAATTATATAGGAAAATAAATTAAAACTCATTGCACAAGGGTATTGTTGGGTATTCATTTAAAAAATTGACCAAGTCAATATTATTTTTTAAAGTTTTGTTATTAAAACTATCAAATCAAGGGAGGTAAGTGTAATTTTTGAAACCTTATGGGAGCTCTGTGAAATTGTCAAAAAGCTCAAGGGAAGTTTCTGAAATTATCCCAATTTGAAAACCAGATTATATGAAGGACTTATTTCAATGGACAGACAAAAATCTGCAGAAGGTTTTAGCATAAATATGTAGTAGTACTACTAGTAGTGTTACTTAATTAAGAAGGTTATATTTAGCATAATAAAAACTGCTAGAATTAATCATAAGAATTCTGGGCCAATTATTAGCTCCTTTTGATGAAATCGCGAGGTAAAAGTAAAACGCTTTCTAGCCCATCCACCGGTCAAATGCGACGAGTCTTTCATCCGACATGCCTTCTTAGGGCCTCATCATTTAATCCTAGGGCCTAGGCCAGGGCATGCACGCGTTGTCCATTTTGAAGGATGATGCAATAGGAGCTTCAGAGCTTGATAGACTATACTACAAAATAAGTTCCAAT